GATATATAGTTATAATAATAATGATAAGATTAAGTGTACTTGACAAGCTTTGAGATAATAATAATCATCCAACTGTTACATTTTCAATTTCAATTGAATTTGACACTTTTATATATATGAAAGTAAGTGGATAACTTTAATATGATTTAATTATAATTCACTTTTTGATGCTCAAAAAATCTGACACTTTCTTTTGTAATCGGAAAAAATACTTCAATGTGTATGTCAATAAGAAATGAAATATCTTAAATTGAAGATAGATTTCAATGAGTTAAAGTGATACATTTTTTGAATCTATCTAAAAACTGACGTAGATTTAATCAATGATGTGAATTTTAGAGCAAAATAACTAATTGTCATATACATCTTACTTTAAACTAATAATAACTTTTCATCTGAATTATGTAACCCTCTCATATGGCCACGGGTATACAGCCACTATCAGGGAAGTCTTGTTCACTACATTTTTGAGGCGGGTGTGTTGTTAACGAAATTAAAAGGATGAAAAGCGAATGTCCGGTGCTTTACCTGGGTTGGTGGATATGGAGGATTCACATAGGGAAGTTGGAAAACTCTGATCCCTAACCAATGATACACATGGGCTCCAGTATCCTGAGGTAACAAATGGCGTATAAACCAATTATTGGTCACCGGCTACCATGGGACTGCATCTCCTGACGTTGCATCACTACTTTGTGGATCAGACCTTTAGGTCGAAGGTTTGCGGTGTGGCCCCCTAAGAAAACCACCTGTTTCAGTTTGGGCACCCGGAAAGTATCCCAACCCTCACACAAACTGAGTCATTTGTGTGGCGCACGTATATTTGATACCACCTTGTAATAATGTTTATGTGTTTAAATAAATAAATTTCAAAATAAAACATTGATTGTATTCAAACGAATGTTGTGAAATTTTTTCAATCAAATTTTCTAACCCAGATAGTTTTGAAAATTTAATGTTGACCAAACATTGAAAACGTGTTCAACTAACTTAATGCTTCAATGTACATTAATTGCTTATTGATTACATAATTTGAAAAAATACTATAATCCGCGATCAAATTATAATTAAAATGAGGTAGTTACCTTAAGATTTAGATTAATTTCTACTAAAAATCACTGATTATTCCGTATGACTAGATAAATGAAACTGAGCACTAATGACTAAAACGTTTTAAATCGATAATTTAACCATCACCAGGGACTATTGAAAATATTCGGTTTAATTTTACGAATTATCAAACATACTAACGTTATAATTAAATTATTGGGTGAGATTGTATTTTATGGACGACCTTTGAGTGAAGCTAGACTGACCTTGAGAGTATCTGCCTAATAACTACGACCGATTGAGGGTAACGACATGGCGAACGGTACTGAGTTCGAGTCCTTGAGTGAACATCAACTCTCGGATGCAGGTACATCCAGCTAATCAGTGACAAATAGGACGAAACACACATCAAACTGGATCCAACTGCTAGCCACCATCCATCGTTGTCATCATTAATTTATACAAACTTAAATGTGAAGCTTTTATTAAGATGCCCAAAGATTAAGTCTAAAAGTTAATTTCCTCAAATGCCTATAAAATTTTATCATCTTCCAATTGATGTTCTTAACCTGCATATAAACATTTTAGGTGAGACTATAGTTTATGGACAACCTGTGAGCGACGCTAGAGTAACGTTGACAGTGTCCACTTAATAACTAGGACCAAATGAAGGTTATAAACCAGTGTGAGGAATTAGAATTATGATTTACAGTTGATGGTTAAGGCAAGGAGTTAGATTTATGGTTTTCATCACGAACTGAAATCATTTATAATGCCGAAACCCTATTCAACCAAACGGATGACTGAATTTTGCGCCAAAATCTGAGAAGTATCATTTTGTATCTGATTGGTTCGTCCATAAATTATAATCTCGCCGATTATTGATTAGTTCATCTTAATAAATAAACGGGATATACCCAATACGATATAAAATAAGAAAGATTAGTACAGGATTCTCCGTTGGCCTATAGTAAATTGTATTTAAGAAAAATTCAGAAAGGAAATGAAATCAAGCAGAATGGACATCTGACACACAACAATACTTTAACGTTAATACTTCGCGGGTTAATATGAGGTAGAGAAAACAAATCTTCCAAGATATTTTTATGTTATGAAGACAGAGTGAAACATCAAAATGAAATAATTCTGTATCGTAATATTCAATGGCTTTGAAGCACATAACTATGAATAAAGTAGTTCAGTTATTTTGGAAATCAGATAGAATATTATTGATCATAATCAATAACGGTTAGGTGAAATCCTATATTGTTTGGAGATAAAAATATGGACTACTGTAAGCTAATCTAGTGGTCTGAAGATAAAGCGCCTGAAAAATATCTTGAAGGTTATAATTCTGATCTATGGTGATATCATGTGTACATACTATTCAAAAGTCACTGTACATTTGTGATGTGAGCTATTTATATCCACATAAATAGTATATAACTATAGTCAGACATAGAATGTATTTCAGTGGAAGATCGAGAGAGAAAGAATGGGAACGAAGGGAATTTAGTATGAAAATGCATAAACAATCAAATCTGAGACGATGAAATGATATTTGCAAAAGAAACAGCCAAGTTTCAGACAATTGATTGGTATTTTGCAAATTAAGTGCTTTCTGTATGGCTCTCAGATTTTAATGAGATTTTCTGTAATTTTGTGCTCAAATACATTGGGTTGTTTTATTTTTATTTATTTATTTGAACACAAATACTGGTACAACTGGGAACCAGATACACATGCGCCACACAAACTTCATTTGACTTGTGTAAGGGCACATTCGGTTGTCCCCATTCGTGTTCTTGTTCACTACGCGCTCACTAAGTATTCAATAATTGTTTCCAAGCAAAAAAAACTATTTTTATTCATCCTAAAATACAAACACCATTTAGAAACGCTTTTCTGTATGATTGAATATTATCATTATTCAATTTTATAAATAATATATGAACAAAATAATTTCAAAAAAGATAAACTATTCACATGTTACGTAACAAATTGAAAATTGAAACTATCCATCTTTTATCAAAATTATTGAATGTTGAATAAAAGATTGATTTATCTGAATTAATCTTTTATCGGTTTGTTCATAAATAGTTTCTTCTCTATTAATTCACCTCATTCATTGAATAATTTCCTAAATAAATAAAAATATTTTGGTAGTTAGAAGAAGATAAAACCACACTCTTCTACTTACTTACGCCAATTGATTCTTGTGGAGGAGCATAGGCCAACCACTAGCATTTTTCATTCAATTCTGTCATAGACAATTCTTTCCAAGTGTAATTCATCCTTTTCATATCTCTTTCCATTTCCCACTGTAGTGTGTTCTTCAACCTTCCAATTTTCCGCTTCCCTTCAGAATTATAAGTTAGATTGTGCCTCATGATTTCCTCAATGTATATCATATCCGCTCCCATTGCCTTTTTCTAATTTCCTCTTCAGATAGAAGTCGGTTTGTCCTATGCCACAGAAGGTTGTTGCTTGTGGTATCCAGCCAACGGATATTGTGAATCTTGCGTAGACAACAATTTATGAATACATGTACCATCTTGATGATGGTTGTAGTAGTTCTCCAAGTTTCAGTTCCATACAACAGAACTATCTTGATGTTCATATTGAAAATTCTAACTTTCCTACACTTAATAAATATTTTCATTCCTTTCCTTTACAAAAGAAAAAACAATGATTTTACACTGATAGTACATAAATCAACCATAAATGGATATTTTCAATTCTATCTTCAATAATTCTTCATTTCATTAGTTGAAATCATGAGTCAATTGAAGCGCTCATGTGCGAGACTGATTTGTCGTGGGCTCAAACCTGGCGGTGGGCGGGATCGTGGATGCACAATGCTGAGGAGTTCCATACTATGATGAAACGGCCGTCCAGTGCTTCCAGGTTTTTCATGGCGGTCTCGCTTCAATTGACTCATGATTTCAACTATTGAAATTATTAAAATCTCCACAAAACCCCCTTTTAATAATTCTTCATTTGTTTGTTTTTCTTCCTCCTCAATAAACTGTATAAATAGAAATAGATAATACTTGATCCGAAATTATAAAATATCTAATCTAATCATTTATTAAATATATATACAAGTTTCAATAAAAGATCAAATTTACAATGAAGTGATAAGTGAATAATCATTGATGAAGGTAGATCATATCAAAAAAGAAAAATAATTCAAACGAGTTAGCAACAAAAATCGAAATATAAAATAGAATATAGATAGTTAATAACCTTATTTATTGATCGATAGTTTAAAATATTGATTTCTTAATTAGCCATATTGATCGCAGAATAATATAACTTTGTTTTGAAAAAGAAAAGATTGATGATATGCGTAGTGAATTCACTTGATTCAGACATGAACACCGTTGGATACCGGTTCAGTGGTCTATAGGTTAAGCGTTCATGAGCGAGATCGAAGGTCGTGGGTTCGAATCTTACGTGCGGGATCATGGATGCACACAGTTGAGAAATCGCAAACTAGGATGAAACAGCCATCCATTTCTTCCAGGTTTGCAATGGTGATCTAATATTAATTGATTCATGACTTCAATTGAAAAACTCAACAATCTTCACAACTACATACTGAAAACAAGCCCAACCAATACTTTGAATACAAGACAAAGAAGTTCAATTACACAATAACACTCCAGTTAATGAAGCATAATTAACAGGCAGTGATTGCAAATTTGATTGGAGATATTTTGAATGTAATAATTGGACAATTCTGTTTTTTCTATGTTTTAATTGATTTAATATTTGGATAAATTGAGGAATGTTAAACCTCATGATGAATCAATTAAAGTTCAGTTGCAGTTAACAGTAGATATTAAACTTATGTGGAAATTTCAATAGTTGAGATCACGAGTCAATTGAAGTTAGACCACCATGGAAAACCTGGAAGCACTGGAGAGCCGTTTCGTCCTATTTTGGGACTCCTCAGCAGTGCGCATCCATGAAATATTGTATTTATTAATTTTAACGCCTTTCTATTCCTATACAGACAACATTCCAGCAGAGGCACTAAAAGCCGACGTAGCAGCAACTGCAAGGATACACCACATTCTCTTCAGCAAGATTTGGGATAAAGAACAAGTACCAACAAACTGGAAAGAAGGACTTCTGATCAAAATACCGAAGAAAGGCGATCTCGGCAACTGTGATAACTACAGGGGCATCACTCTTCTCTCAATACCGGGAAAAGTATTCAACAGGATATAGGTAAACAGCATGAAGAACTGCGTAGACACACAATTTCGTGACCAACAAGCAGGATTCCGTAAGGATAGATCGTGTACAGACCAAATCGCAACTCCACGGATCATTGTGGAACAGTCAATTGAATGGAATTCATCACTTTACATCAACTTCATTGACTACGAAAAGGCATTTGATAGAGTGGACAGAACAACACTATGGAAACTTCTTCGACACTACGGCGTGCCCCAGAAGATAGTCAATATCATACAGAACTCATATGATGGATTACACTGCAAAATTGTGCATGGAGGACAGTTGACAAAGTCGTTCGAAGTGAAGACCGGTGTTAGGCAAGGTTGCTTACACTCACCCTTTCTCCTTCTCCTGGTGATCGACTGGATCATGAAGACGTCAACGTCTGAAGGGAAGCACGGGATACAATGGACATCTAAGATGCAGTTGGACGATCTAGACTTCGCAGATGATCTGGTTCTTCTATCCCAAACGCAACAACAGATGCAGGAGAAGAAGAACAGTGTGGCAGCAGCCTCAGCAGCAGTAGGTCTCAATATACACAAAGGGAAAAGCAAGATTCTCCCATACAACACAGCATGCACCAATCCAATCACAATTGACAGAGACGATTTGGAAGATGTACAGGGTGGATCTGATGCAGATGTGAAGGCGCGAATCGGCAAAGCGAGAGTAGCATATTTACGACTGAAGAACATCAGGAACCCAAAGCAACTGTCAACCAACACCAAGGTCAGGATTTTCAATACGAATGTCAAGACAGATCTATTGTATGGGGCAGAAACCTGGAGAACTACGAAAGCCATCATCCAGAAAATACAGGTGCTTATTAACAGTTGTCTACGCAAAATACTTCAGATCCATTTGCCGGACACTATTAGCAACAACCTACTGTGGGAGAGAACAAACCAGATCCCAGCGGAGGAAGAAATCAGGAAGAAGCGCTGGAAGTGGATAGGACACACATTGAGGAAAGCACCCAACTGCGTCACAAGACAAGTCCTCACATGGAATCCTCAAGGCTAAAGGAGGAGAGGAAGACCAAAGAACACATTACGCCGGGAACTGAAAATAGACATGAGAAAAATGAACAAGAATTGGATGGAACTAGAAAAGAAGGCCCAGGACAGAGTGGGTTGGAGAATGCTGGTCGGCGGCCTATGCTCCATTGGGAGTAACAGGCGTAAGTAAGTAAGTAAGGCTATTCCTACAGTTCATGTATCAAAGAACATTACATAAACTCTACAACTGTTTTCACATTAACGTGAGCATTGAACTACATATGTTTTTAGCAGATTCACAAACGGTATTTTTTAAATCAAGGTTATTGATGATACACCACAGATCTTAATCAACAATATGCTGTTTAGATAAAGAATGTAATAAATAATCTTTTCAAACATTTTTGATTAGTTTATTCCATTTATTCATTTAAAGTACTTTTACAAGACTGACAGGACCCTGATCCTGCACTCGCCATGGCTAGTGAGCAGATAGAAGTAGTCGAGAAGTTCACGCATCTCGGTATGTGTAAGTACTGGAGGTGGCGTGAATAATGAGATCAATTCACGTATGGGGAAAATCAAAGCGGCTTGTGACAATCTGGGTCATCTTTGGCGCCTTCGTGTTGTTAGTCTGGCTGTAAAAGTTAGGATCTACAGCGCTTAGGTGACAGAATTTTGTCTCTACGCTTGTGAAACTTGACCTCTCAGAGTTGAGGATGTTGGATGATTTCTGTGCTTGATCATCGTTGTCTCCAAAGGATTGCTGACATCCAGTAGTATTACCATGTTAGTAGTGTGGAGGTTCGACATCGTGTTCAGGCACAGTGACGACAATTCAGTTGGTGTCACAATCTTAAAACATCAATTTCGACGGCTTGAACATGTTCTACGAATGTCACCCTAGAGAACTCCATATCGTGTATTATTTACCGACGTAAAGACCGGTTGAGAAAAGCGGAGAGGCGGACAGTGTATGACATGATGTTGTGGATTGAATAAAAGCTGTATAGAGCCGGCTTTTGTCGATCATTTACGACTCCCTGGTTGGGGTCCTGGAGGTGATACAACACACTGGCAGGAGACTTGGCCAGACATGGCTCAGAATAGAAGCCAGCGGCGGTGGTGGTATAACTTTTTTCACTTTCTTCCTAAAAGTGAACGTACCTTCGTTAATTGAAAGAATTTTTTCTTGTTGTATTTTTCTTAACTGAATTGCCTCTCCCAATATTCTATCGTTTCCCTTAGTTAGTTGTATGTGAGCCATATAAGTTTGGAGAATTCATGCGGTACTCTGAATTTCTTAGTTCGATTTTCAGTAAAACTATTTAGTTGTATCTCAGTTATGTGATTGTATTCTCATTCTGTATACTGACCTTCACTCCTGGTTTAGCATTTGGGTCAGTACAGGTTGCTAATCGTATCCCATTCATAGAGATATATTTGTGATCATACAGGGACTTATTTTATGGTAGTCAGTTGTCTGGTACACTTATCAAACATAATATCGTATATGGACACCATTTCATGAAATTAGGGACTATAGATAGGTCTCATGGTAAACAATAATCTTGGCAAGGATCCTAAACAATTTTGAACGAAAAAAATTCCCAGAAATGATCTTTAAGAAATTAGGTTGTTAGGTATATAGTTTAGAAGATTATGTAGCCTTCAGATTGATTAGTCATAATGATCTTCAGTTTAATACTACGACTGTTAATCCAAGCCAGAAAATAATTCTTATCAAAGACGTTTATTCACTACTTTTTAAAATGTAAGTAGTTTAAATCGTTTTGCAGTCTTGCTTGAAATGACCTTAATGAATACGTGGAAAGATTACGGATAAAAATGAAACGTCTAAATTATCTGTTTTTGACCTAATAATAAAACAACTAAATCTATGTTTGCATTGTTACAGTCAACTCACGTGACATAATACATTTCTGTAAATGCAAGAAAATATGACTAAATATTCATTCATCACAAGATATGAAAAGGAAGAACCAATAGTTTATTCAATTTATATCTACTAAGAACAAAAACTCTCATCTACTAATCAGTCTTATAAAGACACAAAACCTGATTCAAGTCGATAACAAATTACTAATGGATTACTGATTTCATTGTGAACAGAAGATTTGTATCACAAGATTTCATATTAAAGATTAGTAGAAATAGATCAACTTGTTTATTGAATAGCATTCATTGAATACTCAAGAAATATATATTTTGAGTCACATATGTTGGACTCTTATAAAAATGATCTTTTTAGAAAGTATTCATCAAAACCAAGAAGTTATTGGCTTATTTACTTAATTCATATAGAGGAAGCTAGACTCATTTTATCGAGTTCATTTCCAGATCTTTTAGAAAAATGATAGATGTATATATGGTGGGGAATGTCTGTATCTCATGTGATACCTTCTAACAACTTTACAAATTAGTCGAAGATTTGTTTTTTCTTTAAACATATTCCGCAAGAACTTCAAACATGAACACACATATTTAAGATGAAAGGAAAAAGAGCAGTAACAACGAAATTTAAACAAATTGATGAATTGTTTGCGTTATACCTCTGTACCCATAAAGTATTTATTGTTTGACTTTTTTGTGATAATAAACACATTGTCTAGTTGAGGAAATCAAACTATCAAAGGATACAGAAATGGTATACCTATTGAAGTCATGTTTATTTGCTTCAGTTTACACTTATTTATTTGAAAACATAAATACTGGTACAAAGCGGCATCGAATAAAGATGTGCCACACAAATCACTTGATTTGTATGTGGGCTGCGATACCGCCCGGGTGCCCAAACCAAAACAGGTGGTTTTCTTAGAGGGCCAGACCGCAAACCTTCGACCTAAAGGTCAGATCCATAAGGCAGTGGAGCAACGTCAAAAAATGCAGTTCCATAGTGACCAGTGACCAACAAGAGGTTCATACACCTTTTGTCACCTCAGGATACTGGAGCCCATGTACACCATTGATTTGGAACCAGGGTTTTCCAACTCCCCTAGGTGGGTCCTCTATATCCAGCTTATACGATCATATATTTTACCTTTAAAGATAAAAATATGTAAGTAATTACTCATATGTAGTTGTTTTATTTAAGTCCAATTAAATATAAAATGCTACTTAAAATATTAGTCTAAAAAAATTTAAAAAAGCAACAACTGAATGACTATGATCAAACCATACAGTCTTAGTAAACTATACACTAAAGAAAAAATAGATTGACTGGACTTTTACTAATAACCCATAAATTGTCAATAAAAAATATCATCAATAAGGAAGGGATCATGAATTGAATTGGTAATGGTGATTAAGTTAACTCTTTATTCTTTAATATATATTGAACTTCTATCGATAGGTATAAACTCTACAATAAATATAGTCTATAACAGTGCTATACTGTATATAATTTATTAACTCCAGTCAGTCAGTCGTCCCAGAGAATTCCTCGTCGAGCATTATTTGCCAACGCTCGGACCGGTTGAAAAAAGAGGAGAGGTGGTCAGTGTATGACATGGTGTCGTGGTATGAAAGGAAGCTGCAAAGGGCTGGCTCCTGTTGGTCCTTCTCGACTCCCTGGTTGGGAGACCGAGAGATGGTGTAACACAGTGGCTAGATACGCTATCAGATATGCCACAGAATAGAAGCCAGTAGAGATCCTACTGTAACCTTCTTTTACTTTCTTCATAACAAGTGATTTTAACTTCCTTGACCGAAATTCTTTCTGGTTGTACTTTTCCGTTTCCCCCACTATTATTATCACACTACCATACACTAACCTGTGGTCGTTATTGTTCTCTTTTTTCCTTTCTTCTCTCTTATACGCACCTTACGTTCTTTTTTTCTTCCCATTCTCATTGCTATTGTGTGGCGCATATATATCTGGTGCCTCCTTGTACCAAATAAAAAATATAATATAAATAGTCAGAAACAACGTAGAACTTCGTATGTACGTACATCAGTTCGAGTTGCCATACCACATTAGCACAGAGACGTAATTGTCGATTCAAATCACATAGTGGTAGAGATAGTAAAAGTATAAGCAGTAATAAGAAAGATTAGGGTTTGAAGATGTTATTCAAGGATTATTATCCTGTGAAACAGATTTGTAAAGAGAAAAAATGAGGGACATGAAGAATTCATAAGATTAGAATTTGGGAGAACATAAAGAGTGGATGCACCTGCGCCATTGCAAACGATTTTGAGTCTGTAATGTCGGTTGACATGTTAAGCCCATATATCTTATTCTAGCTTTCGGACAGGCCAATCTATTCATTCTACTTGAGTCACATTCTGACCTTGTTGATTATGCGCTTGACTGTTGTTATATGAGCGCATATATGTGTGTACACTTCTTATCCTAATCACCACATCTGCAACTTATTTTTGCGCGACTATAAATACTGATTAACGCTTGACTAAATGGAGTTGGCTTACCCTTCATCTCCACTGCGCGTTGTTTCGCTTCATATACAAAATATATGTATTCAAAAGTCCATTCTCGTTATTTGACTTATTTAATTCTGTTATTGACTAACGCGATTTAAGTCGATGATTATATACGGGGATAGGCGACATATATATTTCGACAACGATCATTCATACGATCAAATTAGAGTCAGATCTTGGGCCACTAAAGTGGGGAGCCCGTCAACAAACATCGTCCGATCTAAATGACGACAAAATAAACGGCCCCACTAAAAGTCATGTCACTCAAGATCCCTAATCATCGGTTGCTGTCGTCTCGCGGATCCCAACCAAGTAGTCTACACCTACCAACATGGCTCAGTTCACTTGGCAATGACTTCATGGATTTGTGCCATGTTTTGGTTTGGCCACCGCTAGCTTTCTTTCAATCTACTCCTACACCATAAAACATCGCATTATATTTTATCATACAACTAATAAGATAAATACCAAACAAAACTAGTATTATAGTTATTATTTAAAGATCAAGATCTTGCACATATAATTCAATTCTATAATTGATCAGTTTTATCATTTTTTCAAATATATAATTGAAATGGAATATACTTTCATTATACAAGTAAGGAACTTTCTTTACAACAATACATATAATACTATACGATGAATTATAACAAATACAATATCTATATCATATCGATTAAGAAGAAAAGAACAAAAATCAAATAGATATATTACTATAC